GATAAATATGCATTATAATGTGCTGCAAGTTGCAAGTATAACCATGGCAACTGTCCCAGCCTGTTTTGCCTATGCAGTGTTGTTTGTGGTGACCTTCCTTACTTCGCTACCGTAAAGACGATGTCATAATGAAGCTGTTTTCCAAGTCTAGAATGAATTAGTAAACTCATCTGAAGCATAGGGGCTAGAGGTGGGCAGGGGGAAGGAAAGAAATTGATTCACCAATGCATTGCGATTCTCTCTCCAATTATTGTAGATTGATTTTTAAATTATGTATTAATAAATCTGTTTTTTGAAAGTATACACAGGATAAAACATTATGGATACAGACAAGTGTGGTGAAGGCACTACAAATACAGCAAGGACATAAACACTGTTGCCAAAACTTGAGAAGCATCAAGAATCATTTTAGAATCAGATACTGACTCGCTGAATCAAAATCAAATAAAATCATGACGAACTTAAAGATTTCCAATCCTAATAGGTAAGGGTGATTGTTATTTGATATTTCTGCTTCTTGACACATTTGGAATGACTGACTTTCACCGAAAGTAAATTATTTTTTCCAAATGCAGGTGTTATACATGCTTCATTCAAGACTAGAGGTTGTTCTCAAATGGTGTGGCACAACCCAAAAATGGTTGTCTGGTTGCTATGCTAAATGCAAATATTAAAATTAAACTCAAAATGATCATGCAAAGTTATAAATAGGCTTATTAACTTTTAAAATGGAGGAGAAATGCTTCCCAAACCTTTTATTGTTGACATCAAAAGCAAACCATGAGTATTTTACTGCAAATTTACTTTTTACTTAATACTAATAAAATATTGAGCACAGTGTTTTTTCCAATGTTCTTTTAATTAATAATATAATGAAATAAAAATATTAAAGAAAAATTATGTATTTATTTATTTATTTATTTTATTTATTTACCTTTATTTTACCAGGAAATAGTCCCATTGAGATTCAGAATCTCTTTTCAAGGGAGTCCTGGCCAAGACAGCAGAATAATAGTTCCATATTAAAAAGTACATATACAAACATTAACAAAAACAAAACAAACAAGAAAAAAAAAGTACATTTTGGCAATTTAACATACTCTCAACATAATCACCAGCCGCTCTCAGTAACAGCACATGTGCATCTAGTACTCAAATAGTCCTTTATCCTCATTTTAAATTGTGTCATTGTCGGTAAACAGTCAAATTTTAGCTGATTTTGCAATTTATACCAGGAAAACGGTGCAAAAACTTTAAAGGCACTTTCACCGAAAACAGTTCGCGTTCGTGGGATTTCATACATAATTTGCCCATTTGATCTAAGATTACATTTCCTGGTAGTGACCTTAATAGTCAAAAGAGAGCATAAGTAAGGAGGCAGTTTACAAAGTATGGCCTTAAAAAGAAAAATATACCAGTGCTCTAGCCTGCGATTGTGCAGAGATGACCAACCCACACTCTCATACAAGCTACAATGATGAGTACGGAAACTGGAATTAGTTACAAATCTTAGCGCTGCGTGATATACTGAATCCAGCATTTTCAAGGAAGATTTATTTGCATGCATGTATAAAATATCACCATAATCCAGCATTGACATAAATGTTGTTTGTATAAGTGTTTTTCTCGTACTAAAAGAGAAACAGCCTTTGTTTCTATAATAGAAACCCAACTTTACTCTTAGTTTTTTTGTTAGACCCTCTATATGCTGTTTGAAGGACAAATTTTCTTCTAAAAGGAAACCAAGATATTTATAAACTGATACTCGTTCAATTACTTTCTCATCTAGTGTAGCAATTGGACAAGCATCTTCTGTTTTCCTTGATTTAGAAAAGCACATCATTTTAGTTTTATCTGAGTTTAGTACAAGTCTCAATTTCTGCAGATTCTTCTGAATAATTTTAAAAGCAGATTGCAGGTCCTCAATAGCACTTGTCAAGGCTGGAGCAGAGCAATACAAAACAGTATCGTCCGCATAAAAATTACACTTTGCATTTGTTACATTTTGACACAAGTCATTTATATAAATAGTAAATAAAATGGGACCCAAAATGGACCCCTGGGGGACACCATTTTGTATAAGTAATGTGTTTGAGGACACACCATCAACACGAACACTTTGAGAGAAGTAGTAATAGTCAATTTATGGTAAATTTTACTACATTTTTAGTACATTTTGGCTGCCATTTTTTGGGTGAATTTTGCTAATCGTAATATTTAATGTATGCTTCTAGGGACATTTTTGTTTCTTTTGAAGAATAAACAATTTCAGTACTGTGTTAAGCCACCACTTGACATCCAATATAAAATCTTTGTCCTGGAGCAAAACCAGCTGAGAGAACCAATGGACTACAATTAATTATGCTAATCTGGAAGTAACTACACTAGCAACTTCACTTGGCGACACAGTATGACTTATTTGTAAAGCATGATTTCTATAAACTGCAAACAAAGCTGTGAGATAGACTTAATGCAAGAACTGAATAAAGACGCTCAACAACATATTCTGACATGAAAAAAGTAACAACAGAGAGTCTCAGAATGGCTATGTGGGTGGAAATTAGTCACAAAAGAGTAAACGCTTAAGACAAGAAAACTGAACGATGGGTAGAGTATAAAGACAGAGAGAGGAAGAGAGAAGCGAGTGAGAGCACGAAGGCTTCCAGTAGATGTCGGCTTTGACAGAGAAATAATGAAGTGACATGATGTTGATGCAGAAAGAGACTAAATGCAGTTTACTCGTTTGATGCTTTTAGGACTGATGAATCTAAGGGCTGAAGAGGAGACATACAGTATGTTCCTCTAGCCGAGATTCTGCCTTTGCACTAATTAATCACATCATCCAGCCATCCAGGATTCGATAAGCCTATAAAAAGCTTTAGCTCAGGCATCACTGTCTGAAAGATTGCTTCAAGGTTGCTGGATGCTGTTACATCCAATTCAATTGTTTTAGCTCAGAAGTGACATAACATTAAATCAAGGACAGTAGAGAAAGCTACAGAGCTTCTCATTTAGTCAATATCGGCTCCTTGTTAGAAAAGACAGGTGGCAGAACACAAAACATTTAACAATGTTTGCAAGATATTTGAGCTGCCCCAATGGCAGAAAAATCAGATACAGAATAGGAAAGAAAAAAAGGCAGTTCTGACTGGAAGGGTATCATCCCTTACAGAGAGAGAGAAAAAAAGCTAGAGTAAGCACAATGCAAATAAACATGCCACAGTTGTCTCTGAATGCATTTTTAAAAGTAAACATATTTAGCAATGGTTAAATCATCAGACTAATGCATGTCAACATGAAAAAACTAGTTTAAAAAAAACAGATAAAAGTGCATATAAAGACAGCACGCAAACACAGAATTCACTTCTCATTCTCGCCTTTTTGTGCTTGAATGAACACATACATGCAAAATTATGTCAAAATGCCCATCTTGGCGAGTATCCTCGTAAACACAGTCAGTTATATCTTAAGTGAATGTAAACAATTTAGAAAGAAAATGGATGTTTATCCTTATATTGGATATACATTAGGTCTTAAAGTGACAACAGCCTAATACACTGCAGCTGTCTGTGTCATTAATGTTAATCAAACGACAAAGAGAAGATCACCTTTGTAGCTTTAACAACGATTAATTATATTTAATGTATACAGTGAAGATATATGCAGTGTTATTTTACATTTGATTATTCCATTTCTGTTCCTGAATACTATTAGACTTACCTGAAAAACATAAAGCACTGTTTATTTAAATAGTATCTTTGTTCTATTGTTTATTATGTTCTATGCATATGCACTCCCCATAAAAAATACTCCAATGATTAATTATTTCCAAATTGAGCTATTCAAGTCATCTGATGAAATTGTTTTCATACCGCAATATAAAACAAAACAGTTGATGGGCACTATTGACTTCAATAGCATTTTCCCCCCATACTATGAAAGTTAATGGGGCCTACCAACTGTTTGGTTGGTTACCCATAATCTTCAAAATATCTTTTTTGTGCTTAGCAGAAGAAATAAATTCATACAGGTTTGGAACAACTTGAGGGTGAGTAAATGATTCCAGAATTTTCATTTTTGGGTGAACTATCCCTTTAAGACCACTAGTCAGCTGGTAAGGCTGCCTGGGAGACCAACTAAACCAGCTTAATCAGGCTGGGAGAAAAGTTAAATTAGCGAAGACCAGCAAAACCACATAATTAAAGAATACTTGTCAGCTGGTAAGGCTGGGAGACCAGCTGGCCGACCAGCTAAACCAACTGACCGATCAACTAGATGACGGAACACCATCGTAACCAGGCTAGGAGACCAGCTAAACCATATCAAACCATCTAAAGACCTGCAAATCTGCATCTGATGGGGTTTAGCAGAGTAATGACCTAGTATATCTACATCAGACCACCTCAGGAGAAGTCCATAGTTTAGAGTCTGTTAATGTTTTAAGCACATCTTCACCACAGCAGGCAAACGACATGACACAAGACACCCTCCTGCATTCTAAATCCCGTGACGCAGCCTCGTAGCAACGCCGTCTTCCAGCCGCTACCAGCGTGACGCTCATCATCCCTCACATGAGTCAGAGAATGCCATAAGCTAATGGAATAAATCAAGGATGAAATATCAATCAAATTACAAACTAATAGTTCCCTTAATGTCTTTGTTGGAGTACAGATGGCCCCTTCAGCCAGCCAAGCACACCACAGCAAGTCATCATAATAATCAGTGCACTAATAATACCCCTCCATTAATCACATATACGCGCTCAAAGTGCATCGCTGCAAACAACGGGTGCTCTGCTGCAGGAACATCACAAAGTTGAAGCGTGGTAACACTCACTCATTAGACTCTTATCTAGAATTCAAGCTTATTGTTTAAAGAAACGACAAGGTAAGAAATCCATTGAGGGGGTTCTGTGAGCACTACTGTTCCCTTGGCTTCTGAACATAGTGGTCATCAGTTACCTGTAAAAAAATAAATAAGGGCAACATGCAGATACTTACATTTAGCGGGGAGGTCGTAGCCACAGGTGATCTTGGCTTTTCCAGTGTCACAGCCATTTAACGAGTGGCACTCTTCATACAGGAGATGACCCGCGGCTCTGTGTATGCAGCCATCCACTGAAAGAGAGAAACAACACCAGTGTGAGAACTAGGGGTGTAAGATAATATCGTGATACATGTGAGTATCATGATATTATGTTTAGCAACACTGTATCAATATATCGATTTGTTTGCATCAAAGATCCGTGGCTTTGTTCAGTTTAAGTCTTTTTATCTCTGAATGTGAACTGATATAAGCGCAAGGGTGATCCGCTAGCGTTACCATTGGCAAACCCAGCTCACTAGTTACCATCAATGGAAGACCCAATAATGATACCAGCTCCTGCCGGTGTACAGAGGTGAAGTGTGGACTCATTTTGGCTTCCACTATAAAGAAAGCACTTAAGGAGATCGACAAGAGTCATGTTGTTTGCAAAATAAGCCGTGCCAAAAATCCAATTCTCAGGGAACACATTGAATCTAAAGAACTCAAAAAATATCCCAGCGCCATCCACGCTGCTGAGAACGGCGTTTAGATAATATACTAAAGAATTCTCCAAGCACTTTACTATTTTTCCTTTACTCAGACTGCACACAAATTAGTGCTGATGATGTATCTTACAGGGACTGATAAATGCAAATGCAGATACAACTGTTCTGATTAAATAAAAACTTTTTTGGCTCAGGTTTTATGCATATGTGGTGGCGTGTTCTTTATAACAGTTTTTTTTTTTCTCTCAAATTAGATCCTTTTCCTAAACAAACACGAAATAATGCAAAATATCACTTTTCTTACAGTATCACAATAGATCATATCGTAACCCCTGTTTCGTATCGCCAGATTCTTGGCATTACATACCCTAGCGGAACAGATATGTTTGCTGAAATATTAAAAGCTTTTTTTTCCTTGAAAAAAAACTAATCTATCATTACTTTAAACTTTTTTGTGATTATGGGGTGTTTGAAATTCTTCAATATTTCTCCTTTTGTGCACCAAGAAATACAGGTTTTGAACGACATAGAAATGATGACCATTTAAATTCTGAGGTGAATGAATGTATTAAAAATATTATGAATTAATGTATTAAAATAGGAAATAATACATACATACATCAATAAAATAAATCAAAAACTCTGAGACAGAAGTTCTCAGCCCTCATGGTTGAATTAAGGCATGACCCTTGAACTACTGATACTAAAAAAGTGCTAAACCACCTCGTGTCCCCGACCACTGTTGATTTGTATAAAATTAATGTCTTGAAGAAGCTTTTGTCTTCCGTGTTATTTTGCTCTCCCTTGGTTGTCCCCACCTCCCGATGTTTTAATTTCACATGGTTAAGCTCAGGATGCCTTTGACTGATGGTACTGCTTACATGAGTAGGCAGAGAAATAGAAATCCAAATGGTCTCCCTCCCTCAAAAGCCCATGACACACCTCCAGCAGCCCATTATCAATCACAAAGAAACATCATAAAGGTACAGTCATAAGGAAAACAAATAAATCTGAAAAAGAGCTTGTAAGCTGAAATGAAGGACTTATACCAATAGACGCAGAGCTCCTGACCTCTATTCTCAAAGAAGATAATTATAAAGAGAATATGGAATTAAAACCGACTATACACATCACATATCCAGCCCAATCCTACATTGTTATAGTTACATATTAGAGATTTAATATTTGTGTTTTAGGTGAAAGAAATTCTGAGTAACTCTGACACATAACTTTCCTGCACCATACACAGTTCGGATGAATGATCTGAATAATCACATGGAATTTTGAGAATAGGTGTGTTATTATCTTTCTAAGAAATCAGACTTTTCATTTTTGGCATGGCAGACAAAATATCAGGCAAAAAAGTCAAACACTTGAAGCCCCCTTAAATATTTATGAAAAACGTCTACATACATACAGAATAAAAATCTAGTTACAGAATTAATATTTCACACTGAAATGTCACATTTTTGTCGTTAAATGCATTTTAAATTCAAAATGGTGTTCATGTTGATTTTAAACAAATGAAAACAAATCACTTCTGCATTAAAAACAGCGTCAGAACCTGTCATTGATTCAATGCCCCAGCCAACAGGTCGTGATACATGTGACCTAAATGTAAGTTTTAGCTGCTGCCACTGATCTGGTTTGCACGGAGATGAACAGCATGTCATAAAGGAGATCAGTCTCAGTACGCTAATGACACAAGCAGATGAGAGGCAATAAAGATGACAGACAGCCCGCTGTTACAGAAGAGAGGCTGCTCGCGCTAAATTTCATGATCGACCTGATCCACTCGCTCATTCATTGTGCAATGACGTAAATGAGTGCGAACAGCTTTGGCAAAAAAAAAAAAAAACTACTTTTTTTCCCTTTCTTCCTTATCAGACACTACCTAAGTTGACAAAAACTACATACAGGGTTTTTGTTTTTTTTCGTCACAATTTTCTGAAGGAGACACCAGCTGCTGAGAAGATTTTTCCACCACAATCAATCATCTTTAATGGTCTGAGCGACAGCAAGTCGACAGATACAGATTCCGATGGCTTTTGAGAAAGCACTCAGTTCGAATAGATGAAGACAGTGACAGAGCTTGCAATGAGAGAATCGGTTCCTTAGACAGCCTGACAATTACCACATCAAATGCCATCAGACTACATTGGACATGTTGACAGAGCCGTGTAGGCGTTTTGTGAAGTTGTGTATTTTTTCAATACATATACAGTTCCTGAGAATTTCAGCATGGACCACATGGAGTCATTATTCAATTTCAAGAATATCCATATTCATTATTCTACAGCTGAATAAAAAAAGAATTTAATATTGAGAAACGTACATTTTCGAGACAATATGACATCGTCGACTTCTGTTCAGTCAAGGAAATTAGTTACAAACAATGGCAAAAAAACACCATTAACCATTTCGTCTCCAAGCAGCAGTATTTGGTGATTGATTCAATAACTCACTCTTATGGAGAGTCACTTGTTCACTTCCTGAATGAATCTTCCTGAATGAATGAGTGTTTTTGAACAAATTGATTCAGTGAATGATTAAATTGCTTCACTCATAAAGAGTCACTTGTTAAGTTCATGAATGAATGAATCATAGTTTTTATACGAATCTGTTCAGTGAGGGATTTAATTACGCACTTATAACGAGTCACATTTTTTGTTCATGAATGAATCACTTGGTGCCACCTACTAACCTACAGAAAGAAAAAAAATCCCTTATTCATAGTCGCAGAAAGACCCAGCACTTTCACTTTCACTATACAGCACTGTCAGACAATCAAATTATAAGACCAGAACTAACTATTGTATAATTTTGAACACAGAATGACTCTAAACACTGTCTATTGTATATTGCAGGCCCCTGTAAACAAAGTTTAGCAAACGGCATCACCATAAAAACAGCATATTTTGCTGGATGTAAAGTACATTATTACAGCTCTTATGCGTTAGCATTTAAAGTCATTTGGCTGTGAATCACGGCTCTCGTGAATATGCCTGGTCAAGCACACCACAGCCTTTGAGAGATGAGTGTTACAGGGAGTGGAGCATGTTATTGCAGGTTGCGAGCACAGTTCAAAGGCAAAAAAATTCATGCAGTATGTTGAACAGGCAATCAACATGTATGTGTGATTGTTTGGGCTCAAGCAGGTGGGAAGCATGGACATAAACCCTCAGTAATGGCAGCCTGTTTGCAGAAGCTTGTGAAGATGTGTTTACTCAAAAGTAATAATTAATAACGCTTTACAAAATGTTTATTTTTCATTAACCCTTAAAGACCTAGACCATTTTTGGAGCACCTGCATCGCCTGTTCTTTTCTTTGTTTTTCTAACCCATTATAGCAGTCAGCATCAAGTGCCATATATCATTTTAAACAGGAGAACTTGAAGTTTCAATCTATCTCATTTAAATAACAAATTTTACATTTATTTTGTCTTAGAATGGATGAATTTACCAGATTTAAGAAAAACGGCAGCAGATTTTTAGTGCTTATTTTTTTCTCAACCCAAACAAATCCTCCTGAAGTTTGGATTTTTTTCCTTTAGAAAGCTGTACTTGGATATTCTAGATTTCCAGATGTAATTTTGACTACATGTAACAATCCCTAAGCAAGTTATAGCCATTTATTACAACATTATTATAGGCAATTTTCAGTGAAAAGCTGTTTTTTTATTTATTTACTGACAATTTAGAACAAAAAAGTTCAGTAAGTAAAATAAATAGAAACATTGTAATAGAACACTGAAGCAAAAGTGACTTATATATGTGTGTGTGTGTGTGTGTGTGTGTGTGTGTGTGTGTGTGTGTGTGTGTGTGTGTGTGTGTGTGTGTGTGTGTGTGTGTGTGTGTGTGTGTGTGTGTGTGTGTGTGTGTGTGTATATACTGTATATATATACACTACCGTTCAAAAGTTTGGGGTCGGTACGATTTTAAATACTTTTAAAAGAATTCTCTTCTGCTAACCATGGCTGCGCTTATTTGATTAAAAATACAACAAAAATCAGTTATAGTATTAAATATTATTCCAGTGTAAATCAGCTGTTTTCTGTGTGAATATATAGTAAAGTGTAATTTATTCCTGTGATCAAAGCTGAATTTTCAGCATCACCAGTGTCAGTGTCTTCAGTGTCAAATGATCCTTCACAAATCAGTATAATATGAGGATTTGATGCTCAAGAAACATTTATTATTATTATCAATGTTGAAACAGTTGTTGGTCTGTCAGTTGTACAGTTTTTTTTTTTTTTTTTTTGGATTCTTTGATGAATAGGAAGTTCAAAAGAACAGCATTTGTTTGAAATAGAATCTTTTGTAACATTATAAATGTCTTTACTGTCCTTGATAAATAAAAGTATTGATTTCTTTCCTCCAAAAACTAAAACTAAAATTCTCACTGACCCCAAACTTTTGAACAGTAGTGTATATATATATATTTTTTTTTTTACTGAATATGAACAACAAACACAAATAGTGCAGCAAGAAACAGTGCAAATGATTTTCACAAACTATAAGTAGTAATTACTTATACCAAACGGAACTATTGGCGGCGCCAGTTATCACTGTCTGACGCAATTCCA